CCCCCGACTTGGTTTCATTGACGACATCGACGACCACCAGACCTGGTGTTCACCGACTTCCTCAAGTAAAATATTAGATAAGTTAGTTCTATATTTTGTGTCGATGTTTCCCTTATTTATCTCCGTGTCCGCAGATGATTTTGACATTTGTTTGATATATAGACTCTATTGATTTGAATGATTCAATCGGTTTTCTGAACTCTATCTCTGTGTCCTTTATGTTCTGTTTGTTTGCTTTTTTTTTTTTTTTTTTTTTTTTTGGGATTCTAAGATGCATTTGTGAGAGGCAATTGTGTGATGTTGTAAAAAAAATTTGGTTTTTGTTTGTTGTTCTGGAATGAGGCCTAGTTAAACATCTTCCATTGTAGTCATGCATGCAATTGTTTCATGAAAGTCCCATAGAGAAATTATCCTTATTATGTTATGAATTGAAGAGAAAAGCAACCATTGTTCCTGAGATGAAACTGATGGGCAAACCTTCAATTAATTAAATTATGGATGGAGAACCGTAAGCATTCAACATGTGTGAGAACCCGAATAAAAAATTAAGTAAATAATTAAAATAATATATTACAATCTCAAATATTTGGTGGGTGAATTCTAAGGTGCAAATTAATATTATTGGAGGATCTTTTAATTAATTTTTAAATTTAAAATAAATTTATTGTGTAGAAATCTCTAATTTAGAGGCAAAATTTTGCTATTAAAATAATATAGTATAATAGTTAAATAAATAATAAATAATAATATTAGTTATTAAGGGGTCATTTTGAAAATTTATTATAGGAGGATAAAACCCTAATGGTGAGATATCAATTTATTTACTAATCAACACAACAGCAGCCACTTTAGGCTTAGCAAGCCGTGATCTTTGAGAGAGATAGACGAAGAAGCTTGTGGCAAACAAGGAGAGAGAGGAAATTCTAACGTAATCAATACTGTGTGGGTAAGTAAATTGTTTATTCTCACTTCTATTATTATTTTTGATCTTCCATAAGTTGAGTTCGTGAAAAGCATGGTTTAATCATTCAGGTATATATTAATTTATGAGCTGGTGTGAAGGAAGTTTAGTATATCGAACTTGGGTTCTGGGAAATTAATGATGGAAAGAACAAGTGTTGTGTGGTTGCATGAATCTCATTGTGGAAGGAATGTGGCTTTATCTTTGTGTGTTGTGTTGTCAGGGCATGGTGCTCCTGTTTGGTATTGTTACTAAGGTCAAGATATAATGTTTAAGGTTCAACACATTTGATATTAGAATGGGTATATTCAAGGAAAAATTATGTGCAGAATCATAGATTTTAAAAATCAAGAAAATCATATCAAAAGAATGAATTTTGAACTGAAATTTTTACAGTAGATCAATTACATATCTGAATTTTTTCATAATTTTTGGGACTCACAATCCATATAAATTGAGGTATTCAAAATCTGTCCAGGAAACCAGTCCGAAACAGTAAATTCGGGGGTGTTGTTCTCCTTTGGGTATAAATCCAAAAATTATCAAATTAGTGTCATTAGAACGGTTACGAGTCTAGTTTCGTACGTTTTTGGCCTTGCATTGATTGCTCGTGTATATTAAAGAGACCGTCCAATTTCTTTAAAGTGCTGCAGAAAATAACCTGTTTTGGATATAATAAATTGTAGATAATTATTTGATAAACAAATCAAGTGAAACCAATTGGCTTTGAACTTAGGATATATTAACATCATATCTGGAGTTATTTGGAATTTTTCGAAATAGCGTGGAGTGGGTTTTGTAATTTTCAAAGTTAGCGAATAGGTGGGAGAGGCTTGTTTGAAATTCTTTTATTCTTAAAGTCACAATTAATTAAAGTTTTGAACCGGAACCCATGTCTTGGGTGATTTTAAACCTTGAAGAACATGAACTAGGTAATATTTAAGAGTAACGGTGAGTTGGGTTGAGCCGTGTTTAGTGCGCTTTAAGTTTGAGGTTACTTAGTTCCTATTCTTTAGTATTTTTAAATCAGTAGTGACGTGTAGTTTTTAATACTTGGTTCAGGGCATTAGTTGGACTTTCATACTTTATTCGAGGAATTATATTATTTCGGTTTCAGGTGAGTAGTTTCATGCTACTACTTTTTATAATGTTCCCTACCCTGAAACTGTTGGAAAATTAAATTGTTTGTTCATGATTAAACTGTTTTGATAAATATATATTATCAATTGAATCAAATTATTTCTGAAACATGTGTGAACTTGGCATACTGTAAACTATTTGTTTATGGTCTCATGTTTATAATGATGAACTACCATGTTTTGCGAAACTGATGTGTATTGATTATTGGGACCATGTGTGTATTTAGTCCAGGGAAATTATTCCACTGTGTGTGGTGACTCTGGCCACTAAGGAAACAGATCCGGGTTGGGCCGTGATGACTCTAGTGCTCAAGCGATTGTAAGGAAAAGACTTTAAAAACAACTGGGTGACCTTCAATCGGATCGTCTTTGAAAAAAGGCCAGGTGCCACCCTGAGGATGACTCTTAGTTCGTATTGGATCAACGGGGCTTATAGCCTGGAGAACTGTGTGGTAG